TGCGTTGGGGGCGGCGGGGTCTGGGCGCCGGGGCCGGGGCGGGCGAGGAGAGCCCCGCCGCCGCTTTGCCTCGTATGAAGAAGCGGGACTTCAGCTTGGAACAGCTGCGCCAATACGACGGGTCCCGCACGCCGCGCATCCTGCTCGCGGTCAATGGGAAAGTCTTCGACGTGACCAAAGGCAGCAAGTTCTACGGCCCGGGTGAGGAGGAGTTGGAAGGGAGGGGAGGACCCCCTGCAACTCAAGCACGACCCCCTTCCGACGGGAAGGCCCGTGGGCACCGGGGTAGTTTGCCCAGCTTTCTGGTCACTTGGACCCTCGCACCTTGGCTGCGGTACCTGGGACTGCCAGCCTCCCGCACGCCCCCAGCCGCCGGTGCCTCAAGCTTTGCCCCCAAAGTCGGGGTCCCCTGGCGCCCCAAAGACCAGATAGATCTCAGCATTCATCTTTCTGCCATCCATTTCAACTCGCAGCCTTTTCTTGTGCTGTATTTCTCAAAATCCTTAAAGTTGTCGCCAGTCTCGCTGGCCCCCCACCTTTTCCGATCTTTCCGATTCCTTGAATGGGTGGGAATGGAGGGAAGGGATATTTCTAAAGTAAGGACCAAAAGTTTTGGTCCCAGTGATTGACAGCTTCCTTTTCTTCACCATTTTTTGCCAATGGTCTCCTTTTGCCCTCTTTAGTACTCCCCACGAGGCCACGTTTAGGGACACGTAGTCCCAAGTCCCATGCCCTCGAGTCTGAAGTCCGGACGTATAAGCAACAACTCCGACTCAGTTTTTTAAAACCAGTTTTAGTTCGGAGATGCTTTCCAAGATTAACAATGTAGGTGAGATAAGGATGGACCAGAATGCAGATCTTAGTAAGACTGGCAAGGATATTCGGCCTGAATGTTGGGGTTGGAGTTCACATACTCAGCAGGCGTGTCTGTCTGGTTTCTTTCTTTTTTCTTTTTCTTTTTTTTTCTTTTTAAGTCCCTTTTTTCCTTCTTTCCTTCCTTTTTTAAAAAATGCTAGTAGGATAGTAAGACAAATATTCAACTGCAGGTTGATAATGACTTACTGTGTTTTCACTTAGCAGAACTGAGGAGAAAAAACTCAACTATAAATACATACTGCCATGCACCAGTCCTGTATGTGAAAGACTTTCAGAAGTTTGCTTTCAGAAAACTGTATATATAGGTAGTTGATTTAGAAGGTCTTTTACAGTGTAGTCGTAGCATACATTTGAGGTTATACTAATAAACTTAAGACTCATGGAACCTGTTGGCACACCATAAAATTGAGCAACATTGTACATCCTAGTATTGTGTTGATTAATACTAAGCTTTTAAAAAGTAACTTCAAGAATAAATAAAATTAGAGACATAAAGTGACCTGTTATTGAAGAGTCCTTGCAAGCCTTAAAGTCAGGAGGATTGGCAATCCAGAAACAAGCTGGTTTCTTCCTTGATTTAATCTGTTAACACATGAGATTTATTGACACTTGCAAATACATACTTCTGATTTCAGTACTTGCTGGCTAACAGATAGTTTAGAAAGGCTTTGGTGTGTTCATTGGAACAGAGATGTAAAAATGGAGATTTTCTGATATCTTGGATGGTTTTGAACGATTTATTTCAAAGTGGTTTGTACAATATTTCTAATACATTCAATCCTACTAAGTTAGTTTGAGTTACTTGCTACTTGTTAAATAGATATGAACACCTGATCTCTTTCTGCTTTTATCACCAGAAATAGTTAATACTTTATTTGCTTAAGAGCACATGGGACAATAGGGCCGAAGTACAGTATTTAAACCAACCAAATTAAATAAATTTTACATCAGGGTTTACATAGTATTTTGTACCTGAAGTTTTTTTCCCCATTTGTATTAGAATGTGTCCAGTGATCAGAAATTGTGTACCAGTTTAAATTTTTAATATAGAGCTTACTCAACCAAAAGATCTCCCTTTGTGTATTCCTTGTCTAAACTGACAATGAAGCAAACAGAAGTATTAGTACAAAGAAGCATGAGTCTTCACACATTATGACTTGGCACGCTCCAAAAATAACTAGGCGAAACACTCACAGACACAGTTGGGCATCTTCCAATGGCAAATGTTCTGTGACAGAAATTAAAAATTAAAGTAAGAGTCATAGGTGTAATGTAGATGGCTTTTTGTGTGACTTGAGCATTGAGGGGGTACTCCTCAGATAACAATGGAGAAGTCAGTTTTAAGTTAGCATCAATTCATAGGTTCTCATGAATAGCTTAAGAGTGGTATTTGGTTATTTTATCCTAGGTATTGCTCAACAACCTAGTAGAGATAATTTGGAATATTCTATTATTACAAAGAAACTTTTAAGAATAGCTAAGTCATCTTCTGGGCTTTTAAAATACGTTGCTCTTTCACATTAGTAGAAAATGTAGTAAGACTTTACAAAAGTCTCAGCCAAATTTCTGACTTCAAAAGAAGTATTGACTCAGTTTTAATTTTTATTTTCATCCTCAAGCAATTTTGTAGCAGAATAATTTCAGAAGTAGTAATCCTTATCTGAGAATCTTGGTAGCTTAAAACAATGAACTGAGAGAGCTAGAAAACAGTTTCTATTTGGAACCAATATCTACTTCCATTTTACAGTAATAGTTTTAGGATTAAAGATTAGTGAGATTTTCCCATGACGTTGAACATGCTTTTTTTTTTTTTTTTTTTTTGAGAGGTTTTCGCTATAGGGCGTGTGCGCTTGCCAGACCAACAGAGACATAGAGACAGAAAGCGAGAAATCACCCCCCAGAGGGGATGGTCACGCCGCAATCCCTTCTCCTCCATTCTCCTCTCGGGATCTTAGGCATGCACGCACACGCGCGCCCCGCGTGAGTTTTAAGCCACTGGGTCCGGGACGCGAACCACAGTCGACTACGTGGGAATCCAGCAACATAGCCATTACGCTAACTGCTGGTTCCCAAACATGCTATTTTTTAAGTCACTCATTTTCAGATTTAAGTTTCTTAAAAATGAAATATTGATGATTTTATTTAGTGGAGTAACACATTTTGGCAAACAGTTTGCATTAACTACATTTGTAAATACTACATTTAGTAACAGTTTTGGCACTTAGCCAGCATGTGAGGAAAGAGACAATGAATATAGGAGGAGAAAGGAAAACAGATTTATTAAACACCTGCTGAAATAAATCCACTTAATTTGGCTTCTTCCCATTCCTCAGTGAAGTTGGTAAGTGTTCCTGTCCTATGCATTGGGAATTTGAGCTTTGGTATTTTAGGTAATTGGCTTGAGTCATAGAGGTATATCTGATAAATCCAGATGTATTTGACCACAGACTTATCTACACTATTTCTATTAAACTGCATTCTGGGATCAATGTGAAAAGAATCTTACTGTTGTTTTTCTTTATACCCCATCTGTAAGGTTTTAAAGCCTCAAAGAAGCTCATATTCATGGGCTGGCCCCATAGCCTACTGGTTAAGGGAGCCAGATCCTACATGGCCCAACTGCAGTTCGAAACCTGGCCCTGGCAGCTTGAAAAACATGCTGGGCATGCATGCACATGCATGCCCCAAATTCTGATGGAGAAATGGAGGAGAAGTGATTGCAATGTGATTACATCCTATTACAGGTTGATTCCTCTCTCACTGGTGAGCACACACTCTCTTTGACAATTAAAAATAAAATAGTAGCCATAAGTGGCTAGTTAAATTTAAATAAAATTAGATTCAATTAGTTGGGTTTCTTAGTAACCAGTAGCTACCTGGTCAAATGCTCAGCCAAATGGCTAACATATTGGACAGTACTTTGCAAAGTACTTTCATCTTCCCAGAGAATTCTGTTGAACAGCATTGATTCTGGAAGTCAAGAGTGGAAGAAAACGCCCATTTACTTGGTTTATTTAATTTTCAAATTGCCCAATTGGATATGTAATATTTCTATTTTACAGATGTGTAAACAAATTCAGAGAGGTTTTGCCAAAAATCATGTATTTAGTAAGGGACAACATTGAAAAATTCAAATTTAGATCTAACTGGCTTTAGTGGTCATCCCTTCCCATGGTATCACCATATAAACTGTCCACAAATTTCTCATATTTAGAAAGTCAATAGATTTTGAAGACTCAAAAGACAGTGTAATTTATATTTAATCTTTGGGATGGCAGAAACGTATACACTTGTTCTTTTTGATAGTTTATCTCACTTTCCTGAAACTTAGATATATTGCTTTTCTCTTATTCTGTAGTTTTCAACATACAGCATACCCATATTTTTTCCAACTTAAATTTCAGTGAAAAGAAAAATGTCGGGACCTGCAGATATCATAATGGTTGCATTGCTGGGCTCATACGTAGTAGACTGTGGTTCAAGTCCCAGACCCGGAGGCTTAAAACTCATCCTGGGCACGTGTACGTGCATGCCCAAAATTCTGAGAGGAGAATGGAAAAGGGATTATGGTGTGGCCATCCCCCCTGGAGGATGATTTCTCACTTTCTGTCTGTGTCTCTCTGGTGAGCGCATATACCATATAGCAAAAATCTCTTTTAAAAAAAAAGTCATGTAAGAAGTACTCCATGCGGTACCTAATATTCAGAAGGTTAGGGAAAGGAGCACATGTATCTTTGTTTTTCCTCCTCATTAAACTTGATTTTCAGTGTGTTAACTTTGGCTTAACCTTTTAGTTTGTAAAATGGCAGTTGAAACCAGAGTTGCAACATAAAGACTGGACACAGCCTGACCTATTCCTTCCTAAAGGGATGTCCTAATGTTGACACTACCTACTTTTCATCCCACTTTCTCACTTTGAGGCCAACTGGGTCTGTCTGGGCTAATTCCCATACATTCCCATTGATTTCCTACTAGTAAGGAAAGGATCAGGAGAGTTATTTTGATCATCTGCTCAAATTTCTACTGTTATTAAAGTAATAAAATTTACTTAAAATTCAATTTTAGTGAAATTTAGTTATTTTTACAGTACCTAATTGGTTGGTTCCTCTTAGTTCAACATCATCATACTGTTTAATCTTTGAGAAAATTTTAGGTGTGTTAAAGACTAAAGCAAATGATAGAACAATAGCTTAAAGCAAGTGTGAGACCAGAAGATGTTATTTTGGGTGGAAGAAAGGAGTAGAGTTAGAAACAACTGGAGTTGGCTTTTCAAGTTCTTCTAATTGGTCTTTCAGCAATCTGACATAGACCACTTCTCCACCTCT